TGCATGACCAATGCAAAATAGGCCTGAAAATGCATATACATATATTGACTGAAAAGTATCTGTACAAGCAGTGATATGGACTTGATTTACAATTAAGCTAGTGAAACTAAATTGTCTTAACTGTGGATAACAGATTTGGGTTACAGTGATAGGTGGACACCCCCCACCTATAGGTTTTCACATTGCATTGTCTTTTTGTGGTTCAGGAAAAGGTGTACTAATGAGTCTCTTATTTGACACCATTCAAAGCGATCTAGGCTGGCAACAATGTCTTCACGATATACATGTGCCCTCATGATGTAACAAACTGCAGGCCCACAATCCACCCTGAAAATGCAAACTTCTTGTTAGATTTTGAAATTTAGGTGGGTAAAGGTTGTGGAACATGTGTAGAAATCGATTTTAGGCTTACGAATTTGATGCTTGCTGAGGACAGATGTCCACTGATATGATTGTTTTCGAAGTATTTTGGCTTGATAAATTGGTCCATAATGGTGATGACGGTCCAATGCTGTGCACCAAAGCTGTGATGTAGTCCCTCTGCCAACAATGAAATTTCATATTAGGCACCAACCAACATAGGGCATACGTCCAAGTTCAAATATTACACATCACGACAAGTATTATTTTTGTCAGCCACTTACCAGTATTTGTGCTTTGTCAATATGTGGGTCGTGTATGCCTTCTCTTGGGCGCAGTGAGTTATAATGCCTCCATACATTCTCTTTCACGTCGTACACAACAATTGTCCAGTGAAAGTTGTCGTGTACTGGGAAGATTAAGAATCTCTGGCCTTGATACTCCTTTATGTGTACATCAATTAGTTTATTCCTCTTGTGGGGGGGGGTACTGTTCAATGATTTTCTGCACACAAAGGGCATACAATGATGTACCAAGTATTTATATCAATGTTTGGTGTTAATGATTTGAATGTTCATCTGCTAATGGGGAGTTATGTTACTGATGTGAATGTTCACATTTCCTAATGGTGAGTGATGTTACTGATGTGAATGTTCACATCTGTTAATGTAAGTAAATACTGCTGATGTGAATATTCACATCTGTTAATGTGAGTAATACTGCTGATGTGAATGTTCACATCTGTTACTATGAGTTATATTACTGATGTGAATGTTCACATGTGTGTATCATTTAAGTTCATCAACATAATAAGCATATAATATTCAATGCGAAAGATGTGAATGTTCACATCTGTCAATGTGAATCTTCTCAAAGGTCATTTTATGTTTTTGTTAACATTCACATCTGCCTATTATTGAAATTAACAATTTAAGCATGTAATGCTGAGAATAACATCCACATATATTGAAACATAATCAAAATTAAAGTCTAGTGGTTACCAAACATGTGCTTGTAAAGATGAATGATGAATCTTCCAAACTTGGGTTGACTAGCCCTTGTAGTTCAAGTAGAATTTCACCATAAGCATCTATCACCTGCAGAACCGGAGGGGTGGCAGTACATTATTTACAGTGTCTTTACTCTATGTGTATGTGTGTGTGTGTGTGTGTTTTGTACACATTTACAGTTGCCATACGTTGTTGGTTATTGATTCTTCCTTGATGAGGTGTATGATGTCATCAAAATACACATGTTTAGTCTTTGAGTCCCCTCGCCACACTAGCAACCTGTGCATTGTGATTACAGAAAATGTTAATGTCAACATTGCACATTTATGAAATGGTCTAATTTATTAAGTATGTATGTGAACTGAACATGATGGAAAAAAAAACAGTTGGGGATATGTAAGATCACTTACTCATCACCGCCGTTCTTGTGCAAATTTTGGACTTTTTGCTTGTTGAGTTTGTTCATGTTAGCCCAGACCTTTAGTTTGTTGTTCAAGGATAACTTCTTGGACTTTGTTGGCTGCTTTTTTGGTGGTTGCTTGTCTAAATCTTGTGCAATTTGGACTGCATGTGATTGCTGTTCGGCTCCTTCTTTCCCTTTCTTCTGACCAGGCAGGTTGGGGTATTCAAACTCGTCCAACCTGTGTTCTTTCCTTACCTTCTGCTTTATGCGCTTTACCCTTGATGGGGGGCTGATAATGTGTTCCAATGCTGCAGTGGGATTGTTGTTAAGGCTGTCATGAGCCTTTTGTGCTTCAACTTGAGTGATGATGTGTACGGACTGATCGTCAAAAAGGTCTTCAAGTATTGTTTTTTCGCATTCCAAGTTGATGACCAACTTTGTCAGCCGCTGAATTTCTGTATCTTTCCACTCCATGCAAGTCTTCATGTGCATGTCCACATTGGATGAGCCCGATTGGTCAAATAGTTTGGCTTCAAGGGCAGCAATCACCCTTGCCCTCAACTCCCATGATTCTTCCAACTGTTTGTATTTCGCTTCCCATTGCCGTACAAGAGCCCAAGCTTTTTGGTTTTCTTTCATGAGTACTTCCACAATGTCGGGCTCAGTTGGTTGTGCTATGATGATTCCTTTCTCAGCATTGGGGGTGCTACAGCTGGGGTTGATATAATGTCCAACATCATTCAGGTCCACTGCATCGACAGAAAATGCATCCCTGTCATCACTGCGTTGACTGCCTTTGCTTTGATCCTCATTGCTTTCATCTTTATTTGCTACTGCACTTGACAAAATCTCAGGTCTTGGCTCCACATTCAATTTTGTATGACGATACATCTTCGCTTCAGTTGGTGATGCCATTAGCTCGCCGCCATATACCTGCATTTCGAGACAGTATGTTAGTTACATAGTTCCTCGTCTCACTATGTAAATAAGCACAATATATTTGGTTGTACTTCTACCTCATTTAAACCTAGCTTAGCCAGAGTTATGGACTTCATGTTGCTATGTAAGGCTGTGAGGTCCCATTTTACGCATCGTGGAATGGCATTGGGGTTGCGGGGTTGTAAGATTGTTGTATGCTCACACAGCCAATACTGAAACAAATAACAAATATCAGTAATTTGAATATTCATATGAATTAACATTGATGTGAATGTTTACACCACTGGTGCAGTAATGTGAATGTTCACAGTGCACCACTAGGCCAGTAATGTGAATGTTTACATCACTTAAAACTGATGTGAATGTTCACATCCGTTGATGTGGAGTAATGTTACTGATGTGAATGTTCACATTTCCTAATGTTGAGTGATACTACTGATGTGAGTGTTCACAACTGTTAATGTGAGTGATATTACTGACCTGAATGTTCACAACTGTTAGTGTCAGTGCTATTACTGATGTGAATGTTCACATTTGCTAATGGTGGGTGATGATACTGATGTGAATGTTCACATCTGTTCATGTCTGTGTTATTACTATGTGAATGCTCACATTTTGCTAATGGTGAGTGATGTTACTGATGTGAAAATTCACATCTGGTAATGTGAGTGGTACAACTGATGTGAATGTTCACATCTGTTAATGTGAATGTTTACACCAGCATCTACCAATGTGTGTTTGTACATTACTGAAACAGTAATGCGAATGTTTTCATCAATGTTGTCAACTTCCACACCAAAGCTGAGAAATGTGAACATTCACATCAGAGTGTTCAGAGCCCGTATATGTTCATATAAAATATAGAATAAGTTGTATGAGATTTGATTTACCATTAACAATATCACACATCCGGTGACTCGTCCTGGTTTTCCACAGTTTTGGCCCAATGAACCCATCAAGGTTGCCCGGATGCTCTCAGCCCAATTATACTCGATCATCTTGTGTAATGGGTCCATGTATGAGTAGAAAACCCATCCAATTGTTTCTCCGAATGTAGAAAAGAATAGCTTGACGCATGCATACATGCAAACTAATCTTGCGACCTCCTCATCGTCATGTTTTTTTGTGCCCTTCAATGCTTCCCTCAGAATTTCTCGTATTTTGGCAGCACTTAACCGACTAACATCCTTGCACATTCGGTGTATGATGCCGGTTGTTGGTTTTGCGCCATAAGAGAGGTCCATCGACTTGGTGCCGCAGCCCACCCCAAAAATCAGTGATACGTCGCTTCTAAAAATCTGGATGTTCTTATCCCCAATGTAAAACCTTCCACTAGATTGCTTGAATGTTTGTACTATACGCACAATGACATCATCATATTTCATGCAGTGGTTGAGGTCAATTTTGTTACTGATCAAGCTATCAAATAATGGCCAGAACGGTGTTTTTCTAAGGCACTTCAATTGGCCACTTGTAAATTTTGTATCCTTTAACAGTTTGACCAATCCAGTTATATTTGACCGGTAGTTCACTTTTTTCATGTTCACTTCTTCAGGAACAGCTGTTTGATCAGGCTTGGTTTTGGAACGGGATTCCCCTCGCTTTCGCTTGCCATCAACTTTATGGGGAAGACCTGTGTGTTCAAATGAGCACATATAATTGGTTGAAACACAGAGGATGGAACCCGAAGCACCAAACAACATTCAACAACCAGCATTGACAGTAATTGGAACATTCACATCATTATACAGTGATGTGAATGTTCACATCAGTGTTTATTACTGTAAGTTTACACAGTAATCAATACTAATGTGAATGTTCACATCATCCATGTTGAAAGTTTAAATAAATTCGGAAAACGACAACAGTTACTGGGCAATGTAAATGCTTACATGGGTGATCACATTATGTTATAATTTGCTAAAAATCAAAGGGGGGAACCAACAACGCCAAACTACACCCAATAACACAAACAACTTGGGCATTGATGTCACAATGTGAATGTTTACATCATACGCCATCACAGTATTGAGTGAAGTTTGGGGGTTCTGACATTAATGCGAACATTCACATCATTCACATCAGTGTGTAATACTCTAAATTTACCTAGTACTCAATAGTAATGTGAATGTTCACAGTGCACCACTAGGCCAGTAATGTGAATGTTTACATCACTTAAAACTGATGTGAATGTTCACATCCGATGATGTGAATGTTCACATCATGTGAATGTTCACATTAATGTCAGAACCCCCAAACTTCACTCAAAACTGTGATGGCGTATGATGTAAACATTCACATTGTGACATCAATGCCAAAGTTGTTTGTGTTATTGGGTGTAGTTTGGCGATGTTGGTTCCCCCCTTTGATTTTTAGAACATTATAACATAACGTGATCACCCATGTGCGCATTCACATTGCCCAGTAACTATTGTCGTGTTCGAAATTTATTTCTCAAACATGGATGATGTGAACATTCACATTACTATTGAGTACTAGGTAAATTTAGAGTAGTACACACTGATGTGAACATTCACATCACTGTATAATGATGTGAATGTTCCAATTACTGTCAATGCTGGTTGTTGAATGTTGTTTGCTGCTTCGAGTTCCATCCTCTGTGTTTCAACCAATTACATGTGCTCATTTGAACGTAAAAAAAACTTGTATGTTTGGGATGACTTTTTGGCTAATTACGAAAAGATGTGCAAAAAGTAGAGAGAAAAGAGAATCTTTGACTTTTTAGTATGGGCTATTGGCTTTTTGGCTAATTTAGTAACTTTTTGGCTAATTGGCTAAAATAGCCTCTTGCCAAACGAAGTTGTTGAAAATTTGATGTCAATATATATCATGTATTTTCTTTTAAGTCTTCCAGTATATGTATGTTGGTTTGGTATTGGATTCGTTTTTTTTTTTTTTTTTGAACTTGAAATTTTGTGATATAGGATGCATATTTTGAGTTATTTGAATGTTGAGGGGTTGTGTGAGTGTAATTGATTGAATTGCAGATTTTACTTCTCGTGACATAAATTGTAGTACTATGTGTAAATGTAGGTCAACATAGAGATGTTTGGGACTTGAGTTCTGTACCAAAGGATTTGGCTGGAACTAGTGATTTAGAATTTACTGCAAGTGATTCTGAAATTGTGTATAAGGTGCCAAAAAGGCGGAAAGTGGGGCGCAAAAAGAAAAGAGGGCATCCAAGTCGCAAGAGAGTGGAATTGGGAGTGGAAGAGGAAGAGGGGGTGGATGGAAGCAGTGGTGAAGAACACGAAGGTCATGATCTGGAGATTGATTTTCTTGAATCGGAAAATGAGGTAAATGGGAAGAGAAGGAAAAGGAATAGGGAGACAAGGCCAACCTTGATGTGGGAAGTTTGGGAAGAAGAACAAGAGAGATGGGTTGAAGAAAATATGATGAATAATGTTGATTTAGATAACCAGAATGAATTGGCTGTTCATCAATGATGACATTATGATTGAGAAGCAGAAGGTGGAATGGTATTCCTTACTTTTGTTTGTCATGGTTGGTGGGTATGGATCACACTCAGTGGATAAAATAAACTCAATGGGGCGACAAGAATCTTCAAACGACGAAGCACCCTCCTTCCGATGTGAAGCTTCGCAGTGGTGAGACGAAGAGGAATCTAGGGTTACTGGAGGCAATATCAGTATCGTTTCAGTATCGTTTCGTCGATTGAGTTTTTGTTTTGGAAATTTTGTGGATTGAATATTTCGAATAGGAATGGGTTTTTGCAGAATCGGTTTCCGGGAGAGGCGGAGAGGGTTATTTCGTCCTTTAACAATTAATGGACCTAATGGAATATTCAGAAACAGTTTGAATTTTATGGAACAAAACAGTTATAAATAGGACTTATCAAAAAATGACCCATTAAAATTTGATTGTCATAGTAATCTTTTAGTGCATTTTATAGCACATTATGCCGTGCTTACTCTCACCACTAGGATAGGATAGGATAGGAGTGTACAGAAATAACTAATGGACCTAACTCTATTAGCCTCCGTTTGAGAAGTGGGTTGGCTTTTTAGCTTTTTAGTTTTTTTGACTATTTTAACCTGGGGCTAAAAAGTCTGATTTGAGAAGGACTTTTTGACTTTTTTGACTTTTTGATGAGGTGTCCATATGTAATATTACTAAACTGCCTCTATAACTAATTTTGTCCAACTGTTACGTCACCACTCACTTTCCCTTTTTTTTTGAAAAAAGTTTTATTTTTATTTCGGCGGCTGTGCTATGGAATTGTTGACCCAAATGGTTTTTTTTGGTCATTTTAATATTTATTTTTTTTATTACATTGATTTGGTTTTGTTTTGTTTTTTTTTTGGTCTTGGTTTTTTCATGTGTTTTTTTATGTTGATTTTAAAATTATTTTTTTAAATTTTCTGTAAAATGATAAAAAGTGAAGTTTTAAATAATTGTCCGGTGTATTTTAAGGTCTTTTTTTTTTTTTTTTTTTTTTTCAAATTTAATTTTTTTTTGCCATATTTATTTTTATTTATTTTTTTATACATTAATTATTTATTTTTTTCCTTATTTATTTATATTTTTGCCATATTTATTTTTATATATTGTTTTATACATTAATTATTTATTTTTTTCCTTATTTATTTATATTTTTGCCATATTTATTTTTATTTATTGTTTTATACATTAATTATTTATTTTTTGCCTTATTTATTTTTATTTTTATTGCCTTATTTAATTACGTGGCGAATGGTAATTTATGTTTTCATGTTTTGTTTTTAAAAAAAAATTCAATGAAGCATATTTTTGTCGTTATTTTTTTTAATTTACGATTTTGGCATTTTTTTATTAACCCATATTAATATATTTTTATATTTCAAAAATGGATTTTCATTTGTTTTATTTATTTGTAAATAATGTAAATAATCTAAAAAATTTAAATTAAATATTCAAAAAATATTTGAATTGGAAAAATTTAATCAATTTAAATATTCAAAAAATTATTTTAACAACAAAATTTAAATAATTTAAATATTCAAAAATTTTAAATAATTTAAAATGTTAATATTTTACATTTAAAAACAACTCTACATTCAAGTCGTAACCAAACACATAAAATAAAACTCAATTAATAAATTATTGAGTTAACTCATAACCAAACATATAACTCGAAATTTCATACTACTTTCACAACTCTACACTCAAATCATAACCAAATACATAACAAAAAAATTAAAATATT